CTCTGGCCCTGGTCACACCTTTTACAGTGCTCTTTACCTCTTATGTTCATTGATAGATCATTGATATATTCCCCTTGATGAATAGCCATTCAGCTCAATATTTACCCGTGGAATTCGGCCACCTTTTCCACGGAACCTTCTACCCAAAAAAAATAAAAATGGTAGCAATGGAAACTGCGTGCGCGGGAAAAAGTCTCAAAAACTGGCAGCCCCAACCAGGTAAGGCCTAGACACCGGGACCACATGAGGTACGCATATTCATCTATGTCTCCCTCCTTTGTAACAGTTGAGCCCGACTTGATCCAATCCACCATCTCCGTATTGGGTGCTGGGTACGCTCCGAAAACTCATCGGATTGCTTTTCCTCCGTGATTAAGGTTTGGTGATGAGTAGGGCTCCGACCCTACCATCTGATCTGATCGTGGTTAGCTTCATGATAATGGTGATAGGGGAATGTGTTGAGAGATGAAGACGATACAGACGGCGAAAGCGATTGGGAATCCTCGTCGAAGTGAGGACTTTGTTACTCAATCTCGGCTCTGCAGACTCTACAGTGAGAGCTGGAGGTTCGTAGGGGACACCGCTGACAGGTGTTGGGAGTAGTCCCCCACTGCGGGGTGGTTCCGAGGCAGAGAAATTTAAATTGCGTTATAGTTGATACTGTTGACTTACGTGATACCAATACATTGGATTTCCATCGCTAGTATCAATGTCAAGAATTTCTCTTTACACGACTTAGCCGGATTTCCTAGTTCGGTGTCCACCAAAGTCTAGTTTTGAAACCTTAATTATTTATGCATATCTCTGTGATTCTCTACAAACCCAGCGCAATGAATATAGTTAGGCCTATCTGGATTTGAACCAGCGATCTTCTGTCACGTGTGGACTCGGTGCCCAAACTCTTAGGATTCAACGTGGGAGACTGGCCTGCATGATGTACCACTGCACCATCTGACCTGGAAGGATATTCACGACTGAGGGGCCAAAAGTTTAGAGCCCCACCTGAACTGGTTTGAGCGAATAAGCCCATGGCACGAGCGTAGTATGTCGAAATTGCATCACCGACCAATCCCCACCATAATCAGATACGGACTAGTCATCATCCTATATTTTCAGGGATTAATGAGAAGAATAACTAACAACGTTTATCTTCCGAGACTCGCTTAGCATGTATACTGCGCTCCACTGGACTGTAGATAATTTTAAAGTTCGTCAAAGCCATTTGTTGAGTCAAATAGTTTGTGGTGTGTCATTAATCTAGCTTTCGACGAGGGGTCTTCCAGGCTCGGGGACCCATCAAGCTCGAGATAGTTCATCGTGTTACAGTCTAGAATGCTGATTACTTCCGGAATGCAGGAATATAAACAAGAGCAACATCAAATCTGAAAATCAGATTCACAAACGACTTCTTATCGATATGAATTAACAAGGGTGACTTATGAGTTTAGGATTGGCATTCAGTATGATAATCTGGCGGATTTGGGATGTGGCTACAGACGATCCATCTTATGCCCAGGGGATTGGTCATGTGATACTGGTCTTGGATGCACAAGAAATCGATAATGTGCAAGATCCCAATGCATAACTACTTTTATCCATGGGTTTCAGGAGGACTAGGTGGGTGACAGGGATAAGTTGTTCTATATCTTGTGTCAACCGAGCTTGCATGTATTAATGCAATAACTTTCGGTGTGATTGGCTAGGTTTCTTAAGGCGCAATATCATGTGATTCGTCATCATCATCTGATCATATATCACTGTCCGGCAAGGTTGATGCTGGTACATACTTTGTTTCATGTTAAAGCCTATGTAGTAAAATCCATTTTTTGCTCAGAAATTATCTAGGTCCCCTAGTCGGAATCCAGATTATTTACTTCTTTGCACAACGTACAATCTGAAATAAGGAATAATACCTTTGTTCCCATTAATTCCAATTACTTATAATATTCGATCTTATCACCTAATCTTTCACAATTGACAAAATAGCTCCGTCATCTGAAAGTTGGGCTATGAAATGGTACCCCTTGTCCAACTGCCCGGATGAGGCGCCGCCCTTCAAATATTTATACTTTTTCTTACGAGTTGGGAGACAGCAAGGCTTTCTAGGAGTGGACTTTTAATCAAAACTAATTCGATAATGTAACAAATAATAGGTTGCCTCGAAAATAGCAAATATACTTACAACAAATCTGAATCAGCGAATAGCTCACTGTTCCTGACGATAAAGTTTTCGGGGATGAGGTTACACTCCTTTTAGACATAAATTACAAGTAAGGCTTTAGTCTTGGGGATTTTATACCTGTAAGCATCCTGATAGACTGCAGAAAGCAGATATTGATAACTCTAAACCCGACGACATAGGCCCGAGGATGTGTCGCAATGTTGTTCGATGATTAAATGACTAATCGAAAATACTATTATAAAATTTTTCGACAACAAAAAACTTGAGGTGATAACAGAAAAAAAACAACCCATCCTCTCAGAAAATGGTAGGTAACACACCATGTCTTCCATTAAGTCGTGACTTTATAATTTAACTCAAAGTACCCCGCCCTGATACCTAACAAGGCTCCTGAATCTAATGGTATAGTGACGTTATTCCTCACTTCACACAGCATTAATCAAGGTAGATGATATATCAAGGAATGTAATCTAAACCGTTACTGTGCAAGCTAAAGAGCTTAATTGAAGTTACCATACAGGCTCAAATCGCACAAGTTTCTTTTTTACAAAGAGTACAGCATGAGTATTGCCTAGGAACTGAATCTTAATCTGTAGTTCAAGAGGAGTTGACTCACCATAAAGTTATCCATCCTAGGCAATTGTGCTGCTGTTTTATAATACGTGCCGAGCGTTCAAGTAGTACGAGGTTGACTTAACCCAGGATTTTCTAGCCGGAGACACAGTGATATCCTCAGGGGGTATTGGTTTTCGCTAACTCGGCCGGGAATGGAAGACATTTAAGCCATCACACACTAAAGAAAAAGCATAAAATGGCCTAGAGAGATAGATCCACTTCAAATACATTCTGCTGCTGCTACTTGCCAAGGATTAGGAAACACCTTATGTCGGCTCATAAATATGCGCGTTGGTTCACCAAACCCTTGCTCTTCGACTAGCACTATCTAATGTCATCTCACTTTTCCAGTATACGATAGTTTAATAATCGCAGTGATATGAAGCCGAAGTGTTACAAGATTGACATTCTGACCTGCAATTTTATCTTTCAATCAAACTTGAGGCTTAATATTTGTCGTTTTTTTAGCTACGTTGAACCACAGATTGTAACATCTTAAAATGAGAGCAGAGACTTTATGTGACTTCTTGAATCCTCTCTCGAAGCTGGGAACGATCTAATGTATAGCTTCTCAAAGGGTAGCATTCATAGATGTCTTAATCTCGAATGGTGTCGCACCCCATGTCATTAGATATTCAGCCTTGTGGTATCGTGATGGTACACTAGGGCGATGTGAACTTCAGAAGAGAGCTGTAGGAATACAAGACATGCTCTAGGCCTAAGCCAGCAGCATCAGACACCTGTAAAACACTGGAAACGAATCGTTTGAGTTAGCTGCTAGCATGAACTGTTCTAGGGTAATTATTCTATATGGCCCTGGTTAGAAGTAGAATGAAATTGCCTTGCCTTGCAATTATGTAGATCTTGATATTGTAGCTTCTATTCAAGGTTATTCTGGTTGTTACTCTCATCTTTCCGAGAAAATATAATGAATCCTTCTGAAATCCCACACTTCTCGAATCGGCTATGGAAGCTCCTGCGTAAAGTTGTGACTGTGATCCGGAAGCACAGTCTCTTCGGTGAGCTTGAGACGGGGTTCGCGAGTTGAAAAATAGAATGAACGGCAGTACAGCACGCGGGGTAAAGTTGGGAGCCAGGGGGTATTAATGCCCAAGAATGCGTATCCCTGCCATAAAGCCGTGCAGCAACCCTTGAGATCGTCGGAGAGGTTCAAAGGGTCGGACGAAAGATAGCTTATTCTTGGAAAGTTACCTGCGAAAATTCGATGAGATGTGAGATAGGCCTGTAGAAAACTTATTGACGAGGAGTGCTATATATGGTGCTGGATACGACAGCAGATGCCATATGGCTGTTGCTCATGGGACTAAGTGTCAGGAGAAACCTAGATGAGCGGCAGCTTGTCAGACGTCGCGAGAAAAGCAGGCAGCTGCTATCAGATGCAACTTTGGTCGAAGGAACTTATGGACTGTGGAAAACTAGCAGCTAAGACCCATCAGCATGCTCGACACGTGGATGCTGCAGAAAATTCGATGTGTCCACATTTGCGAATCAAGTGGTTGAGAAGTGTTTCTGGCTTGAACTCGGATAATGAGGAAGTGAGGGGGCTCGTGCACGAGATATTTGGGCAGACAGGTACCCAGGTCGGGAAAAGGTCTGGGTTGATTAAGACGTTTTGGGATGTAGTCTACCCTGTTCTGGAAGAGCGCGAAGGCGACGGCTGGAGAAACGAAGGGCTGGGGATGAGGGATGAGGAAGGCGGGAGAAGCACCTGAGTCCATGGAAAGCAAGTGTCCCGATGATGGCACCTCCGAGCGTGCCGTCAGGGAAGCCCCAGTCTCACCATCCCCCTTCGACGGCACTAGACTTCTGTAGATGACCCCTGTCTAGGCCTTCCGATGAATAAATTAGTGGGGTTAACACAGCTGCAAGGGTCTCCCCTTCCAGGTCAGTCAGTTAGTCTAGGGCTTGCATATTCTCACCGCTTCTTATCAACCGCAGCTGCTGACTAACTACATGCCTGGCTCAGTCATGGCTAGAAGCCTTTTTGTAGCCCTCCCCAGCAATCCTGATCTATCGCCTGCCACCTCACTATTCACGCCCCCTCCCTCTCTGTTCCCTACAATACTGCTCTTCTCCTGTGCAATAAACTGTGTCAATGTCGACTAATCTCGACTGTCATCCCACTTGCCTGCTGGATCTTGAGCTCCACTCACTTCCGTTCCGACATCCGCTCGCCAACAACATGCCCTCACGTTCTTCATGGCCATTGCCTCTGAATATAGCTGCTGGAATTTCCCTTGAATCTCGGGAAACCTTAACGGGACATCGGACACAGCAATCTCGGTTCTCCTCTATCAACCATCAGCCTTCGCCAGCACCTGTAATGGCAGACTGGAACCTAGCACAACAGCATGAGCAACATCGGCAACAACATCAGCAACAGATTCCTCCATTACCTGCCTACCTCCCCAATCAGTCACTCATCGACACGCAGTACGGAAACTTTGCAGCCAACTATAATCATCCGCAACTCGAATATATGGACTTAGCTTCAAATCAAGCCCCTTTTGAATCTAATCTTACAATGGATGCACCATATGCCGCAGTTACGTCCAATATTCACTCGCCAGCGCTTTGGGCCAACTGGGAGGATTTCCAGAATCAGTTAGCTTTTAATGGAAATGATAGTCTACCTAGTGTTGGGAGACAGAGTCTCGGCAGTAACTCACCAACTGGCACATACTTGGAAATTATCTCACTACCTAGCTCTGGGAGCGACAATGGCTGGGCCACTGTGGAAAGCTATCCTAATATCGATACTTTTCATCACAATACAGCTGTCTTTAATCCGGGTCAGACACTGCATCTCCGGACAAACTCAGAATCATCTACCTCAGATGGTACGGCACAAAATTTAGAATCCTGTATAGGCAGCAGCTTTGAAGATATTTCATCCTATTCATACTCGCCCTATTCCCCCGCATCCGACTACTGTACTAAGTTCGAATCTCATAATTGCGTTTACAGTGATTCTCACTCAAATCCTTCTCACTCGCCTCCTCAGCCTATAGTGACTAATGAAATGCCTATCGCCACCCCATCTAAGTCTACGGCATCATCCCTGGGTCGGACAAGCCCTACCATCCCATCATCAACTCTTATAGCCCGTCGGAACTCTGCTCCACGGAAAAGCCCCTCATCAAAAACTCCAAAACCTATATTACGGCGTGCATCAACGGGTAAAAAGGATACTGAAAAGAGGGTTGGGCGAAGAAGAGGCCCACTATTGCCCGAACAACGTAAACAAGCTAGTGAAATAAGGAAGCTCCGTGCTTGCCTACGTTGCAAGTTTTTAAAGAAAACCTGTGACAAAGGTGAGCCCTGTGCCGGTTGTAAGCCTTCTCACGCTCGGCTATGGCAAGTCCCATGTACACGTATTGATATTAAGGATATCGCATACTTCATGAAAGACTGGCGAGCTGACCATGAACGTCTTGTTGGCTCCGGTGTCTCGGTATATAATATTAAAGGATTTGCTCAGACAGAGCAGCTTATTTGGATAACTCACGGGTACGGATTTGCAATCCCAATCATGGCCCGAGAAGTTTTTGTGTCAGATGATAGTTGTTTTACAGTAGAATGGATTGAAAGCTTTCACAAACAGAACCTTGAATTTGGGGCGCGCACGGAACGGATGTCTGCCGGATCTGAAGGAATCTCAACAGAAGCACTATCAGAGTACCTGGATAAGCATCTTGACGGACCATTTGAGAAATTCCTTGACGAATATTTTGAGGGAACGCCTTTCATTACCGATGTACTCAAAACAGCCCATCGATATTACGTTAAAGAACAAGTGCCTGTAATTCGAAAGGCCTTGAAGCTAGTGCTTGCTTATAATCTTACTCTTCACGTTACTATGGTTGAACAACGTGGTATCAACCACCACATGGAAGGGCTAATTGACAATGTTTACTCGAAGTTCAATGGTAAAATTATAGCGCCAGTGATGATTAACTTCCAGGTGAAGTGCGCTCTAGCCGACATGTGGCGCGACCTGCAAAAGGAAATTCTGGTGGAGTTATCGTCCCTATATTCTAGTGTATACAGTGGTGATCGATTGAAAAACTGGCCGACAATATTTATGCTTGCGTCTATACTTTTGGCGGTGTGGGAAGAGATGCAATTTGACTCACACTTCCGTGTGCCTGACCAAACAGCCGCGGAGAAGTTCTGCAACGACATGGAAACGACGCCCGTGGGTGTGATTATTGGTCTTTTTCACGCTATCTCTCAAAAGCTACCATCATTTACAGAATGGGATACCCGACGTCACGGACAACTTTTGAATAACAATCTGGCTGTATGTGAAGCCATGACAGAAATGAAAGATCACGTGACCAAACACGGTTAGTTCCCTCCGTTTTGCCGCCATAACCTATATTAAACCTTCTACAGAGACCTATCTACGCACTAGACCAGAAGCGCGGTTTAACAGCTGTGATTTCGATTCTCTGTCAAATAAATTTTTGAGCAAGCTAGTCATCCGAGCCAGCTAGTTCTTGGTCTAGTGCAGGATCAATTACCTACACATTTTTTCCTTTTTTTTTTCACGGAGTTCCTTGTATACCCAGCGACCAAGATAAACTAAAAATGAGACATCATAACATACTATGAGTTTATTTTATCTATGCCATCACGTATTTTTATCATCATGTACTGCACTTACATTCGTAACCGTTCCCTAGAATACCCATCAGCCTAGTCGTGTAGTATATGGTTACACAACTACTTTATATGGACGTCAATAAGGGCTGTCGGACTTTTTGTTTCAAACTCTCTTGGATTACGGTGGAGTTAAAGCAATGGTGGGATGAAATAGCGAGCGAGTGGATTCAACTAATTATTTACGATTTGATATGTTTTACGAAATTTCCTCATTTCTACGAACATTCAGGAATACCAAGAGGGCGAGTGATTTGACGCGAGATGAACATGGAGAGAAGTACGGTAAGACTGGAAGACAAATCATTGATGATGAGACTGGGACTAGAAGATAGAGGTGCGATGAGCCCGCCTTTGAAGCAACAGGCGGAATCAAATGAAATTCAAATGATCGGTGTTGGATGGCAGAAGACTTATTTTTTGGGAGAAGGGGCGAAAGGAAGTTTGGTGTTTGAATAGATTGGTGGGATTCATGAAATGAGGCAGAGAAATTACATGGTGCTAGTATTTGTTCGATATGTTTTTTTGTAACTTCTTAGTAAGACGAGGGGTTGTACAAGATAGGAAATTACGGAGCAGAAAGAGATAAAAGGTAGCCGAGAAACTTAACAATATGGACAATTACGAAATTAACAAGATGAAGCCATAATGTCACCCATGACAGATATGTTACGTTGCAAACTAGGCTTAAAGGCGGGTCAGTTGGCCTTCTGTAACGTATGCCTTGAAATTCCATTCTCCACCTTCTGTGCGTCATTCTCACGCTGCTGTGCCGTGGGCAAGGAAGAAACGGGGCGGCTTCAGGTACATGGCGGGGTGGATGCTAGGCTCTTGAGACAGGTGCAGGAGTAGATTAGGGTAGTGAAGCTTATGTGTCTTGATAACTTAGTGGAGAGGCTTGAGTTGTGAATTTGATGGTGGGGAAAGAGAGCCAAACGAACGTGGCTGCATTGTTCGTGCGGTGAAGAAACGTGCGTCAGACGGCCTTGACGATCACTGCTACTGAGAGGAAGCGAGGAGCAGGGAGAGTGGCTCCTTAGTTGCGTCAGACTGCGAGTGGAGGAACTGGCAAAGCGGATCGCTGGCTGAGGTAGCGGGGAGGGAGGATAACGACAACCAACGTTGAAGAGTGTGCGAGGTATTGAGGATAGTGGTAGACGCGGAGCGCGATGGATGGGGCCCTCGCGTGCGCGGCCCTTGGCATTGACGGGCCGGGGTAACGAGGCCTGGGGCGTCTGCATTGGCTAGATTCCGTCATCTGTCACGGAGGCCGGAGAATGGCGTGGCCCACTTCGGAGCGGCCCTAATGGGTGGCACTGGGCGCTTGGTGACAGCACGTCAGGGCCCCGCAAATGGCCGGCTCATGGGCGACGACGATGCTAGCTCCGGAGTTGCTCAAGGCCGAGTCTATCGGTGCGTAGGCAAGGCGACCACGTAGTTACTCCGACCGACGTGACTTGGGCAGTGGTCGCGCATCCGCTGCTCTCGGCGTGCCGGGAAATGAGGGAATCGTCGCACATTCCTGCCTCCTAGCTTATCATAGGCGCGCGTATACGTTTCACCGCAGTCTCCCGTGACCGAAGCGCGACGCGCACAGCAATGGGCGAGAAGCAACGAAGCCTCTCGGCACACTCATCTTCTTTCCGTCTCCCTTTTGGGCGCCATCCACAACGCAATGGCAAGAGGATTGTGGGCCCGGTATCTGCGTGCCGGCCCGCTTCTTCCTGAGGGGCGGCGTAGAGACTGAAGCCCATGCTCGGTACATGGCAGAGAGGCAGGCTGTCGACGGAGCCATCATCACTCATTCGACCCAGCCCACCTGGTCATGAGGCGGGGAAGTTGGGACTCAAAGGCCGAAGGCTCGATGGCAGCCCGATGGCCAAGATACGATCCGCATGGCATGGTACGCCCATTGCAGGCAGGCACTGCTCACGAAAAAGTTCCATGCGCTCCTTCTCACACAATCACGCCGGCATAACGGCATGCGTGTATTCCGCTGGCGATTTAATGACTGATCGTACGCCGGCGGGACCATTTGGTCCAGTCAGGCAGAAGGCGGCAGATCCTAGGGGAGCGACAGCCGTCAGCGTCTTGTCCACCGACGCATGCAGGACACAGGGATCCCCCCCGTCGCTCCAAGACTCAACTCCAAGTCGCGTTTGGCTTAGAGATCGGGTCGGGTCGGTACCTTTGACACTGGGCCAGTGGGTCAACCATAGTGTCGGGCGGCACGCCACCGAGCTGCTTGCCGCTCATGAAACGACAGCTCTCCACTCTCCCTGAAACGTGACATTCCGCGCTCCACTATACGCGCCCCGACAAGGTTGTCACGGCAGCGGCCCCATCCCTCGTCTATTTCCTCGCTGACGTAATCTCAATGGAGCCAATCCCTACCAGCTCCCCAGATTGTCCCTGACGGCAGCAGCGCGCACCACTGGGCCTGGCCCCGTTCTCTTTGCACCAGATTCCCGCCGCAAAAAGCATCTGCACCCAGGCCAACACACGCAATCTTCCCAGTAGTCGACGGCGGTGTCAGACATGCTGAATTATCCAAGGCCTTGCGTCTGATGGCCCGAGAGCGAAGATTTCTCGGGTGAGCCGTAGTCCCTGGCTGGCTGGCTGGCCACGGCTAAATATACGTCAGGTCAGATGATCTACTCCCAATATCCTCCTCTCGTCCATAGGAATTGTTCATCCAAACATCGGTACATCCACACAGCTTGCCATGACCGTCACAACCTTCAAATCAGACTCTATCCCTCGCCCTTGCGAAGAGTCAGGCCCAACATGCGCCACCTAACCAGCCCTGCAGGCGCTGCCATCCGCTGCCTCGAACCTATCAGGCTATTTTTCGCAGCGTCTAGACGCCAACCTCCGCCTTGAAACATCCACGACTTAAGCCACCATGGCCTGAGGGCAGCTCTTTGCTCCTGAGACGCAGTATTCTTCTTCGGCCTTCCCTCCACCCGGACTCGTGGCAGCAAATTCTCCTCGCACCCCCCTACACGAAGTGGCCTGCTTAGGTCCAGGGGGGCCATCACAGCAACCGCTCTCGCCAAGCTGTTTCGATGCACCACCCTGTTTGCACTGCAATTCAGCATCGATTATCAAATCCTCAGTCGTGTCGCCAACGAGACCTTGGCAGGAACGCGTCCTAGATGAATATTTTCAACCCTGAACACCCCGTCAGCAGCCAATCCATCAATCCTATTCCCTCCAAACCAGTCACGGATCGGTCAAAGCAACACGACTACCGCCCCAAGACTAGTTCCCTGCACAAGGTACCCAGGCTGAGAGATTACGCTGGGGAGCTCAGTTTCATATTGATCGGGGGGTTATGATTTGCCTGATGATTGGCAATCCCACTCGAAATTCTAGTCTTTTCTACCCCAGCGAAGAGATTAAGAGAAAATTACTGGGATCCTACTGCCTTGAGCATATCGATGACAATTGATGTTAGAAATAATTTTAGTGCCAGCATTCTTGGCTACCATAGTCTTCAATTTCATTTTATTTTCTCGACAACATCCAAGGAGGGGAACAAATAACCGATACATCCTCTGCTCATTCTAGTATGTGACTAATCCTACGTATATTATGGAGCAACTTAGAATCTGCTGAAAGCGCTCTAGCTTTGTCAAGCGAGACGTTTGTTGGCTGTTGTATGTATAATTGGCCCGGAAATCGAAATTAGATGAATTACTAGCATACCGTCTAGTCTGGGGATTCAGTTAGTGTCTTTAGAGTTTGGACACCAATTTCCCTCGAGGTCGAACACTGCTTGCCCGATTCTGAACGCGACTATATTTTTAATAATGCTTGTGTACACGATAATCAACGTGTGCTTGGTCAAGAGATAATCTTGAAACCCTCTCTGGCCGGTACTCATGCGCGCGCGGCAATTGTGCTGTGAAGGCACTAAACCTCGCACTGGTGTTGGCGAGTGAAATTCATTGCGCGTCTCCTCAAATCTGGAGACATTATTTAGTATGCACACAAGATACTGATAATATATGAAGGCTAAATAGTCGTGTATACCTAAGAGTTTCCAAAAATGCCTCACAAAATTAGGTTATTCAAAACTCGCACGAGTCGAGCTTTCATGCTAGATCAATTTTGGCTCGTAGATATTTACATAAAAGAAGTCACTCGCACATAGGGCGTACCCACATTCTGAATGGATGGGACAATTCATGTCTTCAGGCAGAAAATTAGTAATTAGCCTCTTTTCTATCATTCCACCTCCCCGAAGCTAGGCTATACACCAACCAGCTCAAGCCGATTTCCAACTTAGTCTTCATTCGTTACGAAAAGAAGTTGATTAGCTAGTCTTACGGGTCCACAAAGAATTTTGGGGCCTGAGCTATATAAGGAGCTGCGTCTCGGTGGTGTGGGAAGAGGTTAACTTCCTACCGCCACTATCTCTGCTTCTAGACGGCTTGTTGTGTCCTTCTATGCTCACCTCTGTATGGCCGGAGATGTTTCATTGTGGATCCTCATTACTCTATTTTTGTACCTTCCGTAAAACGACACAACGTTCATCGTCTCGCCCCCAGCTTGGCTTAGTATCAACGAGGGAGAGGCAATGCCCCGGATTTCAAGAGTTCAAGAAAAGCCTTCTATCATTTTTGTGTTAAGGATCGCTGTAATGACATGCGAGTTGTAGAAAACAAGAACTCAAGGTGTAAAAAGTAATTAAGCCACAGAGTAAAGATTTGCATACGAATTACACACATTAGATGTGAGGGACTGAGCGAGTAGCAATTAATTGGTCATTAGAGCTTCCACATGGCCTAACCTCCACGGGTATCTTAATCAAACTCCAGGTCCATAC